GTGTGTGTGTGTGTGTGTGTGTGTGTTGTGTGTGTGTTGTGTGTGTGTGTGTGTGTTTGTGTATGTTTAGGTGGCGCATGGTTAATTGGAAACCGATTGTTGAGATCCGTGCTATTCAAGTAATACAGACAGTGTGCATGCGCTGTTTTGCTGTATAAATTATGTTTGCTGTAAAACTCACGAAGTATTTTTAGATCAGTTGTCATGAGTGGAGTCAGCTGCTGACATGTTTATTAGGATGCTTACGAAGTGTTTCATCACAACACGCTTTCACAATAAAAACTGTGATAAAGTATTAAGTGAAGCTGGGAAAAAAACCCCTAAAAATTTGCTCTCAATACTGTTTCATCGAAGTATGATGTGATATACACCTGACACTCTAGAATCAGAGGCCGATGGTCTCGTAGCAACACACACTATTTTTAAATGCACGTGTTTTTACGCCTTCATCGACACGATTTAGATGATCTATTTAAGAGCTCTCATCTAACTCTCACTGGTAGAAATGAAAGCAATCGAGGCAGGGGTAGGCCCAGAGCAACCTACCAAGGGAACCTAAACAAATGGGTAACGGAGAAAGATCAGGGAAACGGAGCTTTTCTAAGAGCATCCGAGCAAAGGAATGAATGTAGAACTGTGATCGCCGATGTCTGCCGCAGATCTGGCACTGGATGATTTAGAGCTGAGTTTTGACCTTGCTTGTCAGGGTCAATACGGGCTGAGAGGGATACAACGTCCGGGCAGAAGATCGAGATACTCGATAAAGAGGAAAATTATCTCCGCATGAGAACTGATGTCGGTTTTTTTGTGTTCGACGGCGATTCGCCTAACTCTGTCTTTCTTTAGCTGTTGGCCAGTCACTCATATGGTCTTCCTCTCTTCCATAAATTTAACGTGTCGGTGTCTCATCCCATCCTTTTTACATTGACAACCTTTTATTCCTTCCAGATCCTCATGATCGCTTGGAGTTCTCTCTTCTTCTCGTGCCCTGGCTGGAGCAACAGCGCCATCACTTTCCTCCTGGAAGCCCCAAACTGGTGCTGTCCAGAGCAACCTCGGGGTAACTGGACTGAGGACGCTCACCATCGCTATAGCAACCACAGCCTCAACTCGTGTGTGGACACGTCTAACGTCACGTCTGGGACAGCTATCCGAACGTACGGCATGATGTGTCACGTGGTTCACAATGGCAGACAGGAGGACTGCACTGAGAGAGTGTTTGACGGCAGTGTCAACTCTATAGTGACAGAGGTAGCTGGCCAGACAGAAAGACAGTGCAAACAGTTGACAGTACATAAAATAATATATATTGATAGACAGATAGATAGACAGTGATACACACACACTAGATGTTCAAGACCCTTATGTCTATTCAGGTG